TTTTTAGTAAATACTAAGTCATTAAAATAAATTTGAATTCAAATAAATGACATGTAATTCGTTAAACCTATTAGAAATGTGCTATAGCATAATTCGTGATATAAATCAAAAATTGTCAAATAAATTCGCAAAATATAAATTCGTGAAAAAAAAGCGCTTTCGACAAAATACTAAAATAGAGATCTATCGACAAAGACTACAAACTTCTGCCTAGCTTAATAGTATAAGATTGCCGCAGCTGATGTTCTCTGGTTATTTCAATTTCTCTTTTTAAGAGAGCTATATGTTGAGCCACCTCAACTAGATTTGGCATGTGACATTTTTAGTGGCAATCATTGGTCGATTCGCCGTGTAAGAGAAATAGTAACGTAAACAAAACAAAGCAAACGTTGCCACCGGCGGAAAAGAAATACAGCCAAAATTTGGGAGCCACGTAAGAGAATTATATATATATTAGATAAACATTTTCTTTCAATTAAATAAAAAAAAAATATTGCTCAGTCTAATATTTCTAATGAGTAATTTTAAAGCAAAATATGACTTCTTAGAACGTTAATGCAACAAAATTAGTTCTTATGATAATGAAATAATATCGATGGCCAGTTGATCCACCATTTTATTCTCACGACTCTCTTTTACTCTCAACGAATTTCTCGAATCCGACATCCGCGCGGACGGCCATTTTCCCGTTAATGTTCGTGACACATTTTCAATTTTTGTTGTCTAGCACCTCACTTCTGAAATGACCTTTTTATCTAGAAATACAGCAACATACTGCGCATGGTGGAATTGATGTTTTCTCTGTCAGGGAGTACTGCAGCGGTTGAAAGGGGCTTTTCAGCAATGAACTTACAAAAAAATAAAAAAAAGAAAAAAAGAAAACACACACACATTACGTACTGGTCTTAAACAAGAAGCGTTAAACGCAATTATGAACATCTACTTAAATGGAAAACCCCTTTTAAATTTATGTGCAGAAACCTCTGTAAATCATTCGCTTGATTGTGGAACTGGCAAACGTCATATTTGATTCATTTAAAAAACGCAGTACCCTCGGATAAATTGACATTTCAGATAATTTGAACTTTGTCATTTAAATTATTTCATAAAAGAAATAAGTTATTTCATAAAAGAAATACTAGATTCCTATTAGCAACCTAGTAATTATTTCATTACTGTATAATGTAATCCTAGTATTTGTAATCCTAGTAACTACTAATTCATTGTGCAATTTATATAAATGTTTGTAATAAATAAGAGAAAATTATATTTTTATTTATTTAAAAGCTACGGGTTAGTTTCAAAGGAGGTCGGGTACATTGTTGAACTAGCCGTCCTCGGGGACGGGTAAAATTTCTAAGTTTTTTCGAGCCCTAGTTGATAGTTCATCTCTGATAGTATAGGAGACTTAGTAATTTCGTTGCCCTTATATAAGTTTCAACACATTTTTGCTTACATGTCAAACAGAAACGCCATCGAATAGTCGTTAGTTCTATATAAGGCTCATATACTATGAGAGGTGAACTATCCCCCACAATGGAGCAGACAAGCTTGCAAGTTACATTATGTTAGTATTAGAGTGAGAGTTTGAAGGCTATTTGGATACCTAAAATTATTGATATGTATGGTTGTGCGGCTGTAAATTGTACTAACAGTTAAAAAAAGGCTTTTGAATGTTCAGACTTCCTTCAAAGTTGAAAGGAAAGAAGAAATGGAGAATAAATTGCAAAAGATACAACTTACAGTATGGAAGTGGAGTTCGCTTATGTGAGGTAAATACTCATTTATTTACAACTTATTATATTTATTTACTTATATATGTAGTGTATAAACGATATTAGGTTGTTAGAAGTTGTTTTTGAATACTTGTTTTTGTCTATTTTTTCAAAAAAATGGATAAGTGAATTACTTTTACGGTTACTTCAATTGTACACTTTTAACTATGTACCAAATATGAGGGGAATTAATTATCAACCATGTCAACCTTCATCTATCAAAAGGTGCCTCGTAATGGAATAAAGTTAACATGTCTTATATACAAGTGAATTGGTATTTAATATTTATAGTGGTAGTTACACCACAAATATAGGAATTTTCATTGAAAATTGCATTTATTAAATATATATTTATTAAGTATATATTTATTTTAAATATAAGTTTCTAAGCAACATTTATTAATTAACTTGACAATTTTAAGTGTTAATGCGCAATAAAACCAATAAATAAAGGCAAGAGATAGGCTGAATAAATATTCGCCAAACTTATTTCAGAATCGGCAAGTTTTGTATTTACTTTTAACTATTTCGCTTTGTTCAAAACAAATATTTACTTGTTTTTTAATGTATAACTTTTTATTTCATTGAGATCAAGTAGTTAGCTACTTAATCCGGGCTCATTTAAGTTTTTTTTTTTAGTTATTTATAGTAATATCGCCTAAAGTTCAAAAGGTTTGCTTATCATAAATCTATTTAATATGCGATCTTTAATATATTTTTGGATGTATCAATGTTTTTTTCTTTGAAATTCTTGTGTTAAATCGCTGAAATAATTAGTTAATTAGAAAATTTTAAAGGAGTATGTTCAAAAATTGTAAACTCTAAATTTTTTGAATGTATTTTCATATAAGCATGAAAATGAAAAAAAAAGTATTCGAAATATTTTTGCAGGTTTATTTTGAAGAATCTCAACTAGAAATAAATAGAAAAGTTACAATAAATTAAGACCTGATGCTATTCCAACAATTTTCAATGTTCCAAATTCCTTAAAAATTCCTCAAGTGCCTTTTAGTTCCAAATTTACTTTAAAATCATTTATAAAAAAGATTGATGTAATCGACATGAATCACATACACAATTTTTTATTTAAAACTCTTTACCGGTAATGAAATTTGCAGTGAATTTGTACAAGCATAAAAAAAGTTTCCGAAAAACAATGTTAATCGATGCACGCTTTTTTTACTGATTATCCTATAGTTGAGATTTACGTCATTTGTGGCGATAAATTGCCAAATCTTGTAACTCTTCATTATTGGTCAAAAGCTTTTGCTCCGAAATGGTTGATAAGTCAGGTGACTAATTCAGGGGCTATAGTTCTACAGGGTAAAATGTGTTTTTATTCACCTTCTGCCCCCTGTTTTAATTTATTTTCATTAGTCATGACCTATCCAACCCATACTGTGAAAAATTTCTAGTTCCTTAATTAAATACTTGTTATGTCATTCACCGCGTTGTCATACGTTAATTAGATTATCGTGGAGCTTTACTTTAGTACAATGATTGCATTACTTTTAAGGAAATAATTAGTTTCTTCTCACTTTCTATTATTTTTTCTGAATTCTGCTTGTTCTTTTAAAACGTCAGTTCACTGAAATAAGGTAAATATTTTATATCTATGTATTTTTATTAAATACTTTTTGTTGTTTACAAATTCAGACTCAAAAACTTCCCTAACATTTTAATTATTTTTGCAAACTTTTTAACATCGCAACAATTCACTGAAAAATATAAATTCATCAGTATGGAGACTAGCACGACGCTTTTAAGAGTTTCTGTTTGTGGTGGGAAAAAATCAGAAAGCTTCTCAGAGACTATTTTCGATTAATTTCCACACTAAAACCTAAATTTGTCACCGTTAAAATTTGAAAATTTGTATTTATCTTTTTCGGAGTTATTCTTATGAAGACTATACTTTTCCTGATATTTCAATATTTAGAATGCTATCGAGCAGAAAGCAGAGAATAATTCTTTCTAGATAATATGATGTTGAAACAAATAAATAAGCAAAATCAGCGCTGACACTAAAAAGATATCAATTCATTCATTTATTTCTTGATTGTTTATAATATTTTTAGTTCAATTTAAGCCTGTTAATTTCATTAAATGTTTAAAAATTGGAAAAATTCTTATGAGTACTGATATTGGGTGAAAACTTTTAATAATAATGCTTTCTTTGTTCTATTGCGGTTTTCGAAAGCTTTTTGTTATTTACACTCTGTCAGCCATTCATAATTAAATCTGAGTGAAACATTGATAATTGATCCGTACAGTTCCTTTCACAACAGAACAATATTATCATTATTATAATTTTTTAAGGAGAGTTTGCAACTTTTAATATATTCTCAAGAAAGGAAAAAAAAATTTTTTTTTGATAACCTAAGTATTTTAAGATTGAAATTGAAACAGGGGATAAAATTTAAAAGTGTAGAAAACTTGTTTTGCAATGTTGTTGTGGGATTAGTCGGGACCAACCATTAAAGTTTTACTCATATACAAACAGAAGTTTCAAATCATCAAAATAGAAAGCTCTCATACACTTTTGTAAATATATTTTAATTTTTTTCTACTTAACAGAGTAATGGCTATCGTTAAAAAAATGTAGTATAATTATTAGCATTATACGAATATGGACCATAAAAACAAAAAGGTTACGCGAGGGTTGAATGAAGTTATTTATTAACGGTTCACGGGTAACTGGGTATTTGCATTTCAAGGAGATTACTAATACGCACTCGTGTGACAGATCAATCGAGATCAACAGATCAAGCGCGAGCAATCAGCAGGCGAGCATCGCCTGCTGATTGCTCGCGTGTTAAAGATGAGCTAAGTAATTCCACTTAAGTTAGAATGTTAATTAAAGTGAAGTTAAGTAAATACAGTGCAGATATCACACATCGAATTTGTTAAAATAAAAATCTTTCTCGTCTTTTTATACTTAACTTAGATTTATTATTTGTATATGTATTTTACTGTAATCATGATATATTTGTGTTTTATGTACCTGACAACATGTATGCATAATTAGTTTGTTTATGTTCCACATGGCTTCGTGCTGGTCTTTGTGTTAAGTTAGAAACATATAGTGAGAGAATTGGAATTACATAACATAAAAACATACATCCAAAACATTCAAAGTTAGAATATTAATTAACGTGAAGTTAAGTAATAGGGATAAATAGNGTTAAGTTAGAAACATATAGTGAGAGAATTGGAATTACATAACATAAAAACATACATCCAAAACATTCAAAACAACAAAACATTCAAAGTTAGAATGTTAATTAACGCGAAGTTAAGTAAATACAGTGCAGATATCACACATCGAATTTGTTAAAATAAAAATCTTTCTCGTCTTTTTTTACTTAACTTAGATTTATTATTTGTATACGTATTTTACTGTAACCATGATATATTTGTGTTTTATGTACTTGACAACATGCATGCATAAATAGTTTGTTTATGTTCCACGTGGCTTCGTACTGGTCTTTGTATTAAGTTAGAAACATATAGTGAGAGAATTGGAATTACATAACATAAAAACATACATCCAAAACATTCAAAACAACAAAACATTCAAAGTTAGAATGTTAATTAACGTGAAGTTAAGTAAATACAGTGCAGATATCACACATCGAATTTGTTAAAATAAAAATCTTTCTCGTCTTTTTTTACTTAACTTAGATTTATTATTTGTATATGTATGTTACTGTAACCATGACATATTTTTGTTTTATGTACCTGACAACATGCATGTATAAATAGTTTGTTTATGTTCCACGTGGCTTCGTACTGGTCCTTGTATTAAGTTAGAAACATACAGTGAGAGAATTGAAATCTTTGTGGAAGAATATAGAATAGGTCATTTAAGGGAATTTGATACTTAATGGGCTTGGCTTACTCAAAATAAAATGGAAAGGACAGTTGATAAAGTCAACAAATGCCACGTTTCATCAACCAGTTAGGATCGAAATATCCACACTACGTCACTCTCAGGTATCCCATTGAGATGTCCATGTCAGAAGCTTGTCTATAAATAAATGAGTATAAAAATCAATCAATTATTATTCGAAGCATTTTTATTGGACAATTCTTACGCACATCTGGAAATAAACGTATTCCCATTGTTTGCTATGCGTTGTTTATTGATCATTAATGGATTGCCTATGGACAGATAAGTGACGTCAGCGTAGACATCTCCTTACAAAATGAACTTAAATAGTGAAATATAAATATGTTTCAAGGGGTTTATCTGAAGAAAGAAAAAAAAAACAGTTTTTTTTGCCATATTATTAGTATATCGCTGCCTAGTTATGGACATGAACTCATTTCATTGCTGCTTTTTAGAGTTATGCTCAGACAAAGTTAGTGAAAAATTAGATTTTTGGTCTTTTTCTTCCCTGAAAACCCTGGTTAAACAACAGTACACCAATAATTTCTTTACTGAATATCAAAGTTCTCTATTTAAACAAGCTCTGTGATCTAGAATTTTTTTTTAGCTTTTTTCCTAAACTTTTTAAAAATTTTTGCTGTCGGTTTTTTATGAAGTTCAAAGTGTGGTATGATTTGAAACTACGTATCCAGGACTTTAGTATGAATTGTGCTTTCAATCGTTATGGACATTATTAACAGTGTTCAAAGAAAAGTTTTTTCTCCAAAAGTTCAAATCGTTATTCTTCTTAATAAATAAACAATCATTTGATTTTTTACGATAAATAATTATTAAAACTTAGAGTACAATCAATTAAATTTAAAATGAAATCCTAATTAAAATTTTAGATGCGAACAACAAAATCGAAGAATATTTTAAAATTGTTGTTTAATTTTTAAAATATTAAATTGAATAAAAATGTGTTAGTCAATTACACAATAAAACATGTCATAAATATGAAACCAATAAATTCATTTAAACAACATTAATATTTCTAACAATAAGTTAATGATTAGTAGATAATTAATACTCTGTAAATGGGAGCTTTTTAACCTTTTATAACAAAATAGATGAGTTCTGGCTTGTCCAATAATTAATGGATATTTATTTTAACATTTTATTCAAATTCTGACTATTAAATATAACAAATTTAATCAGTAATCTCACAAAATTAATTCTATTTGACAGTTTAATTAAGTTTACTTGTTAACTTTAAATTCTGACAGCAAAAATACTCAAATATTTAAAGGCTATTAAAATCTCTTTTTAAAGATATCTAACAAAAAACTATTCAGTTAGAAATAATATTTGTAATCTAGTTTCATTTTTTTCAGGTGAATATATTTAATGCAATTGAATTTTTTAAACCTCTAATTAGTAAAAAAAAAAAAGAGCGAAATATGTTTGGTCCACATAATTAAGAAATAATATCATATAAAATTTGAAATAAATTAATAAATGAATTAATTTTAAACTTACCTCCTATAATCTGCTGTTCTCGTTTGGATTTCATTTATGACTGCTAATTCTATGAAGTCATAATTTCCGTCTTTTTTAATTGCGATCTCTAACAGGTAAAAGATATAATTTAAAGAAATTTTATTTAATAGAACACTCAAGTTTGCAACAACTTGTTATTATTAATTTAAAGGTATGAAACAAATAAAGTAAAAAGGAAAAGCGAAAATGGAAATAAAAGGGCACAATGATACTTCGCAATTCAAACTAGTCACCAATATGGGGATTGTTTACCCATGTGACCAGCGACAGGCAATCCAAATCGAAAGAGGCACAAAGGTCGTGAGGAAAACAATGATGCTATTTAAACCAGGTAATTCAGGGATTTAGCAATGTCAGGGTCGAGAGTGCGGGCAAACTTTTAAATTTCCTTAACCCTAGTGGGAAGTCTGGATCCACCTTTGCCCTATAAGGTCCAGAATTCGAATAGTTTTGTAAAAACAGCTGCCGAGAACTGGCTCATTGGTTAGGGATGGTTTTTCTGTTAATATGTGGATAGAAAAATATGGTTCTGTGTTCCGATACATGCCTGATTAGATTTGGTAATTATATGAAGAATAAGCCAGAAAGTATCCTTTTTTCTATTCTGTATTTTTATGCACTTTTTATTACACTTGCAAATATTGCTTTTCATGCATCTTTGTACAGTCCGCAAAAAAAAAGAAGATATCACCCTAAATAACTTTCGTTCTAATGATCGGATTTTCACGAACTAAGTGTTAATCTTAATGGTTCTTGGGGGTGACCTCAAATATGCTAATTAATTATTGCTAACTATTAATTAAGTTACGAAATCAGACACAAAAACGTACTTTCTCTGAATAAACATNCCAAGATTTTTCAAATTATCAACAGTACAATTAAAAGCTTTATTGGCTCCCCATTTTCATAAAAGTTACAAGTGAATAAACGCGACTCATATATATAAATGAAATATGAATTCTGAGAATAAAGTATTCAATTTTCTAAGTTTTCGATTCAGTTATTAAAATTGTTTACATTCCAGAATATCAAGTATCTTGTAGCTTCATGGAAAGTAAGATGTGAGATGAGAGCTTCCAAAGAAATCTACGATCATTATATACAAGTAAATTTCTGTTTTTTCATTTCTCCACCCAAAAAAAAAACATACTTTTGATACAAGGCATTCCA